AAAAGGAAAAAAAGGGGCCCAAGGGGGTAAAACCCCTCTCAATGTTGGGGGGGGGGGGGGACGATAAACAAGGAAAGTTACAATGAATTTTAACATGGTTGAGAAAGTTTTTAATTTGTTCAAGCTGCAGGAACAAAAATGACGAGTGTCAATGTACAACAAAGTGTTTTTCTCAGTAAAAAACTGTTGAGACCCTTTTCTGGTTTTCCTAAGTCCTGAATGGCTGAGAACCTGGTAGGTGAATATCTGGGAAGTATCATAACTTTAACTTAACGCTCAAAGCACCAGGGATTTTATGGAAAAATATTCAGATTTTAATGTGTGGTTTTAAATGTTCTATGTTGAAGAAATAAAGGCATTCATTCTTTCCCAGAAAAGTTCCATAGTAAAGAAATATTGGGCAAAATGGCATCCATGGGACTTTTCAAAAGTCAAAGACAGCTGACCAAAGAGAACACGAACACTTTACTTTTGCCGAAAAGGCATCTCATTGTCCCAGAGGCCCCAGGGGAAATTATTTTGTGGCTTGACAGACCTCTGATTCACTCAACAAGAAAAAAAAAAATAGACTGTTTTGGATTGGCCTGATCAAAGTGTGAGCTTAATTAAATCCAGTGCTGGATCATGACCTCAAGCGTGCCATGAGTAAAAGCAGTTTACTTGTGGCCCAAGAGCTGGGAAAAAATTCCTCCAGTGACGTAACAGACTTGTCATCAGTAAAAACAAGCCCTGGATAAGCCGGTTTTCTTGCTATGAAAAGGCAACTGAACGTAGGTGATTCTGATTCATTTAAATCCTAACCTTCACGTCTCACACAAATGTCCGCTAGATGGCAGCACTGTTCAGGTTTTGAACTCAGCTGAATTGTGTTCTTCAGTGTATACACTGAATATATAAATGTATACATTTAGTAAACACTTGCAGATAGATTCAGTCAGGAACTGTTCACGCGTCAGTATCTACGTTCACAATATTTATTTGTATTTTTGTAAGACTGTTGTAACCCCACACTAATTGCTAGGGTTGTAAAATAACTCACGGAATGAGTACCAAGAAACCATTACTGTTGCTACCGAATTTCTTGTAAATATGATTTTCATAGTTCTTGTAATTTAAGCAGAAAATATGATGGCAACTTTATATTGCCATCTATATTAAAGTTTACTTCTTCTTAGTATAATATAGTATTTCCATAATTCCTACATTAAATATCAGCACTTTAAATAATATTTACAGAAACAAACATAAAAAAACTGTATGCATTGTAGTAGTAGTACTAATAATATGAAATAACGTTAATGGTAATAATAGTTTGTTGCGATAAAATGTATGTTTTCCGTTCTACCTGTCCACCAAAGCAGATGGGAAGCCCAAATACCTGAAGTGTCCATCAGTCAGTGAATGCAGCACAGACTGCCTGAAGTTTCCGACACTGAAAGGTGTGTTAATGTCAGAGCGCTGGCCGTTTCAAAGCCTTGTAGGTACCTTGTTTTAGATGACTTCGGACAGCATCCTCCAGCGCTCAGGTCATAGCAAAACCAAACCAAATCAAACCGTAGATAAATCTGTGCGCATACTTTACATACCTGTGGTATAGAATCAGTTTCGGGAAAATAACAGTTTAAAAATAGTATAAAACGAGCAAAACCTCTCCAAAACACCAGCAGTAGAATTTTGAGAGTTTTCGGAATGATCTTCTCGAATTTACTCCTTGCGACGCTGTGCGTTTTTGCGCAGTTGGACACTTTGGACACTTTTACGCACGGCTGCCAGTTGCCCTCCGAGTGGCGGCCGCTGAGCGAGGGCTGCCGGGCGGAGCTGGCGGAGATCATCGTGTATGCTCGGGTCCTGGCGATCCACCGGGAGCCGCCGGGCTTCGGTGCGGGCAACGCGCACAACTCGCTGCCCTTCGGCTACGACTACCTGAGCGCGGAGGAAGGGCTGCTGTACTCGGCGGAGGTGGAGCTGCTGTGCGACCAGGCCTGGGGCAGCATGCTGGAGGTACCGTCCGGATCAAGGCTCAACCTGACCGGGCTGGGGTACCTGTCCTGCCAGTCCCACACCGTGATGGAAAATTACTCCTACTTCTTCTTCCTCAGGTGCGGTGCTACTATGATTTAAGTCTCGTCTCCGATCAGAGCCACGGGATTCTGAATGTCCTCTCGCTCTTGTCCTGTCTGCCTCCTCCTAAGGATGGATGAGAACTACAGCATCCTGCCTCATGGTGTGAACTTCCAGGATGCAGTCTTCCCTGACACGGTGGAGAACAGGCGCACCTTCTCCAGCCTTTTCCAGTTTTCCAACTGCAGTCAAGGGAGCCAACCGTTCCACACCTTCAGCCCAGAGTGGGAGACCCAGGAGGACAGCAGGGTAAGAGGCTGTGTGTCTGGAGAGCCACACTTACCTATAGCAACACTGGACTTTTTATGTGTTTTGATACATATGGTGGGGAAGTAAGAAGTCAAGTTGATTTGTGCAGCACATTTCAGCAACCATGTGCAACCAGTTATAGAAACAAATCCTAAAAATAAGTAATAAACATTATATTTTGTCAAATGCCATCATCAAAATCATCAAGCAAATGTACATCAGATATATTGGTCAAGTTATTAAGAATAAAAGGAAGCTGTAAACGGGCGTGTTTTAAGTCTGGACTTAAAGGAAGTCAGTGTTTCAGATGTTTTGCAGTTTTCTAGAAGTTTGTTCCAGATTTGTGGAGCATAGAAGCTGAATGCTGTTTCGTTGCGTTTGGTTCTGGAGATGCAGAGTAGAACCAGAACCAGAAGACCTGAGAGGTCTGGAAGTTTGATGCAACACCAGCAGATCTTTAATGAGTTTTGGTGCCAAGCCATTCAGTCATTTATAAACTAACAACAATAAAAACTAAAACTAAAACATACTTAAATTAGAGATATAACACCCTTTGTTTTTGAATTCTTCTGTGTCTAAGAATTAACCAAAGTATGAAAAAACTAAAACTGCTTCTGTAACTAAACTAAACTGAAACCAAACAACATTTAACTAATAACTAATAAAAACTAGAAAATGCACGCTAAAAAATAAATAGAACTAACTGAATTAGACAAGGGCTGCACAGTGGCGCAGTTGGTAGAGCTGTTGCCGTGCAGCAAGAAGGTTCTGGGTTCGATTCCCGGCCCCGGTCTTTCTGCATGGAGTTTGCATGTTCTCCCTGTGCATGCGTGGGTTTTCTCCGGGTACTCCGGTTTCCTCCCACAGTCCAAAAAAAACATGACTGTTAGGTTAATTGGTCTGTCTAAATTGCCCCTAGGTGTGTGTGTGCGCATGGTTGTGTGTCTGTGTTGCCCTGCAACAGACTGGCGACCTGTCCAGGATGTACCCCGCCTCTCGCCCGGAATGTTAGCTGGAGATAGGCACCAGCACCCCCCCCGACCCCACTGAGGGACAAGGGTGTTCAGAAAATGGATGGATGAATTAGACAAACAAACAAAAAAAAACACATAAAATAGAATGAAAAACCTAAAACTATTCCAACCCTGGTGGTGTGGTCGTCTGCTGAACAACAAGTGTTCAGCACTTGTTCATTGGACACAACAAGTGTGTCCAATGAACTCCCGTCCACACACACTTTAGTGTCTTCACAGCTGATGCCACAGAAAAGTTCTTCTCATTTTGATTATTTGGTCTATGTGTGTGTGTGTGTGTGTGTGTTGGGGTAATGAAGGAAAGGAGTACAGAAGCAGAGCAGAAATGCCTCCCTGCTGGTCTGGATCTTTCTTCCCACTCATCCCTCTTTGTTCTTTCTTATCGTTCTTCATCTCCCAACCCAAACACACACACACACACACACACACACACACGCACATACACACACACACATGCACATACACAGTGCGTGTTACTTTGTAAACTTCATTGTTTCACTACTGAGAGAAACAGGCAGCCCTCTGAGCATTCTCATAAAATGTTAATGTGAGTCTGACAAGTCTTAAAGGCGCGAACATGGCTGTTAGAGCCTGAGTTTTCCCTGACAATAAACTATTAACACTCTTTTAAAGGAATATTTATGCAGTTTAACGCTGTGCTGCTGTTACCACGGCTGTAAAATAGAGAGAGAGAGAGAAAAAAACAAAACATGAAAAAGCGGCTCTGACTGCTAATGATAAGACGAGGCTTTGAGCAAAAGTTAATTAAAGGCTTGGCAGGAAAGTGTTGCGGAGGAAGCCTCCTCTGTCCATCTAGTTCCCACGCACCTGAAACCACTAGCAAACCCCTTCCCTGCTCTAATATTAGGGGAATTTAAACCACAGTTGAAGAATAAGTGTGAGATCTTGAAATCTTGAACTGTTTTACCAAGAATAGAACTAAACAAACCTCTTCTTTCGCCTGCCTCTCCTCCTCATCCCCAAAGCAGAACAGCTGTTTGGTCTTGCCTTGCCTTTGGGTTATGGTCTCTACATGTGAAGGCTCATCCTCAGAATGAGCACAGCCTCTAACCCCTGACCTATGACCTTCTTCAGAGCTGAATAAAGGAACACGTCACCAAGCATCTTGCCTACTGATTTGGTGGTGCGCAGGTCATCAGGACCGACAGAAAACATCATGCAGTCTTTGTTGATGATATTATAGCAGACATTTAAGCTGCTGTCACAATGTTTACCACCACCAGGGTGTGAATGTGTGACCAGCTGGAGTCACCTATGCTAGAAAAAGCGCTACACAAATACAAGCCAGTAACCATTTAATGTAATCCTGGTTGATTAGTGTGTGCACATTGGGATCAATAGTGTGGAATTAATTGTTGTTTTTCCTGTAAGTATTCACTTTTTGTTCATATTTCAGAATCAGTTAACAGTCTGGGAATGGAATTCCATTCCTGCGTCTCTACCCCCCAACTGGTCCGATGACTGTTAGCCGAGTTAATCAGAAATTAGGTCATGATGTCAGTTTCACTTTCAGTTTCAGGCACCTGGCATCACAACGTGAGGGAATCTTCATCGGCGCAGACAGAGCGTTTGCATAATTTTTCTATGAGATTAATTCATTTTATTTTTGGGTCATTGCTGTGATATGATTGAAAGTAGTTTTTTTGTTTTTTTGATGAAGCTTAGTGATTGAGTTGTGCTTGAAATGGACAGTTCTGAATGATAGCCCCTCTGAACTGGTTACTGCAGCAACCTGATGTTAGATTAGCAGAGGGTATACCTCACCTTTGGGTAATCTGGAAAAATTTCTAAGTTGTATTTTTTAATACCAGTGTGGTACTGGCAGTTGGGAGGATTTTTGGACAATTAAATATTCTGGAAGTGACTTATAAATGTGACTAATCTGTCTTGGTTTTAGACATGTGTACCTTTAAACCCTCAATAGAAAAGTTTGGTGATTTATCTTTCTATTGTTACGTCACCCAACGTTTTACCAGTCACTAGTCAACGTTTTCCTCTTCATTTTTAAATAAATGTTGCTGCCTGTCAGCAGACATGAGGCAACATCTTCTGATGTGAACGTCGTCCCTTTTTCCAAATCGTCCAGGTTAGCCAAACAGCTAACAGTTGTTAAATTCTTTTAGGCCAATTTATGATTTATTACAGCTGTCTAACTGATTGAAATACCCAGTTTGAGTAGTAAAGTGGTAGTTAATGTGACTCTTAACAACAAATTGATGAAAACATTTAAAAACTTGGGTTGGGTCCTGATTTTAGGCCATAGCAAGCAATTTAAAACACTAGTTTTTTTTGTTTTCTTAAATTAATTTGGGTAAATTTACATGAACCTGAAGATAAATAGTGCTGAAGTATGTCTTTACATGTTCTCTAAAGAGTGTTTATCCAGATGATACCCAGCAGCAGGAGGGTAACACCCGGATGTTTTCACAGATGGTGTGTGTCCGTGTGTGTGTTCTGACAGTATCACACTGAGCGCCTTGATATGAGCAGATCCCAGCTCAGCATGTACCTCAGTTTTAAAATCACGTGTGCACATAAACATTGTGCATGTGTTCAATTTTAGAACAACCAGGTGCATGAACAGATAGATGCTATAGATGCCAAAATACCTGCCCTTTGACTTTTGGACCAACAAAGTGCCCTTCTGAAATAGATTTTTGTTTTCAGTTTTTTTTTTTCCCTTTTCAGCCATATGAAAATTTTTGAATTTCACAAAACTGCTATGGAAACACATTTGTCGCATCACACCAGGAAAAGACAATGAAGACAACAGGAAGTAGTGGCAGGATATTGCCGCTGCATGTTTTTTAATGACTTAGCTTATTCATGTGTGATTTCTTGTTTAATGGAAACGATGCACTTTTTGACATTAGTGAAACATCAAAGTTTTGCACACATTTGTAATGGAAACACAGCTGCTGATGTAGAAATACCATCTATTCAGGTATATCAGAAAAACATTCAATCCCTTTTAGGATGTATATAATTTGTTTACATGACTATAGAGGGGTCAAAGTTGAACTGGATTATTTCCACACTGACTGAAAGTTTAAGATTTCTGAAAACTCGTCCCACATTTTCAATTCTTTTCTTGTGCCAGGATCACTTTAGGATTAGTCGGGTTCATGGCTCCGTCAAACCTGGACTGGAATATTCTACCGTTGATACAGATTCTTTATGATTTGTGAAACATGTTAGCCTCTTCTGCCACCCGGTTCTGTTGTTAACAGCCCAAGATAAAGAGCTGGAGTCAGTTTTCACAAGACATTGGCTTTTTCTAATACATCAGACAAAGTCAATGTCTAATTTATTTTTGACCCACACGTAATGTTCGACACCACTGCGCCCTTTAGGGAATGTGAACACAACAGAAAGAGCAAAGTAATCAGAGTACATTACACATTTATCTTCTTGTGCACGTACTCACCAGACAGTAGGCTGGACTTAGGCATGCAATCTAATTGGCCACATGTTAAGACCACGGCTGGAAGACCAGCATCTGCACACGTCAAGTCATGAGAATGTGATACAATAGCGTGTGTCTGTGTGTGTGTGTATGTGTGTGTGTGTGTGTGTGTGTGTGTGTGTGTGTGTGTGTTGTTTCAGGCATGTTGCTAATTGCAACAGACCTACTGATAGTAGAAGACCTTGAAGATTCTACAGGGCTCTGTTCTCGGATCCAAGAAGATTATAATAATGAAAACAAAGTTCACATGGAATTCCACGAAGCTTACAAAATATTATCACAAAACCAAAAGTTGTTTGGTTTTCATTGGTTCACACACAGGCAGTGACCACCGAGTGACTAGTGTAAGTTCAGAACAAGTGATCACAGATAAGCCAATTCTAAGAAACCCTTACTCTATTAAGAATCAGAATCAGCTTTATTCGCCAAGTTTGTTCACACAAACAAAGAATTTGACTTGGATTCTACTTTGGTCCTGTTGGAGATATTTGAAATGTAAATAAACACAAAAGGGAAAGTAGATATTCATGGTGTTGATGTTCAGCCAGACTGCGGCAGTTCGGTTTTTCCAAAAAGTGCTTCGTCACCATCTTGGCTGTTGCCTTCCAACTCATTTATGCTCAATACTCCGTTTTAGAATTAAATTTTGCCTATGGTTGCAGTTTGGCAATGGCAGCAGAGGAAGTGAATGAAGCCATTCAGTGTATGTTGACAATCCTTCCAAATAATGAGCAGTTAAAGTCAGAGCGAGGGGAATGTCTAAGACATTTTGTTACTGACAAAGATGTCGTCTAGCTCAAGGCTTCTCTTGTTGCAGTGGGGGATGGTTGTTTGTAGCGTACACAATTTCCAGTAGGAGTCATCAAGCTGGCTCTTTACATACATCATGACCAAACATTAGTGATGGGGCACGATCAGATCCAATCATTTGAAACTTCAACAGAGGCCACGCCTCCAGCAAGCAATCGTTTCTCAACGGTCGAGAGTCCAGACCCTTCAAACGGAGCAAAACTTAGAACAAGGAGCTGGTTTTCACCAGACCGAACTGAAAGTAAAAGTCTACACAGTTTGTGTCCAGGATATGTGGGGTCTGCAGACATGTTAGCTTCCCTTCTCCTTACCTTAGATCTTTACAAGTCTTGAATGGAGGGAAAGTCAGCCCTGATGAGCTTCTCTGCAGACCTGATTGTCCGTTGTAGCCTGGACTTGTCTTGTTTTGTGGATGAGCCAAATCACACAGTGTGGAAGATGACCAGCAGCTCCTGTGACAGGTTGTACTTCTTAAGTCAGAGGTCCCTCAAATCCAGGCCTCCAGGGCGTTCTGCAACTTTTAAGTGTGTCCCTTTTTCAACACGCCTCAATCAACTGGCTGAGTTACCTCCTTGGTGCCGTCAAGTTGTTCAGAGTCCTGCTAATGACCTGATTATTTGACGCAGGCATGTTGAAGCAGAGGCATATCAGCAGGACACCGGCCCTCAAGGTCTGGATTTGAGGATCCCTGCCCTAAGTTGTTGCAGGAAGTCCAGTTTCTTCTTCTGAACATAATCTGTATGCAAAGACCATCAGAGGTCACAAGAAAGGGTTGTTCATAGGAACCAGCAGTGATCCACAGCAGACATGTTGTTGTTGAGGATGGTGATGGATTTAGACTAAGGAGCTTTCTTGGTCTTCTGATGCTGAAGGAGGCTGATTACATCTTCATTGTAGATCTTAAGTCTAGGCAGGGGGTGTAAAGAGAGGAATGTGGTTGGTACTTATTGCTCCCCAAATATATTGTTAAAATTTTGTTCCATTTGTGTGAGCTCTGTATTGCGCATCATGTCTCATTGGTTGAACCTGCTGTTACCCTTTTGAAGTAGGTTTTGAAGAGTCTAAAGAGGTCGTCAACCAGGGTAAAGGCAGGCTGTGGGGTGTCACCCACTGAGATAAAAATCTAGGACATCCTAGGAAAGTATGTGGTTGTTAGACTAACAACCAGATATAATATGAACTCTCTAAGTATTTTTTATAGAGTAGAATTGGGAACAGGTTGTATGTGTAGATAAATAATAGGACCCTAAGTTCCTATTTTTTTACCCCCTCACATAGCAGAACCTGATGTTGTGACAGCTGTTAGCTACAGTGGTTTGGTTTTTCCACTCTGTTTTCCTCTCTTCTTGCTCCAGCTGCTGTGCTCCTCGGTGCAGCTGGCTCTGTTCGAGGAGGAGGAGCGGGGCCGGAAGCTGCAGGAGCGCCTGGCCGCAGCCGAGAGGAGGAACCGGCAGCTGAAGGAGCGTGTTGGCAAGGTGAAGCGCTCCCTGAGAAACGCCCGCAAGGCCGCACGCAAGGCAGAGCAGGAGGCACGGGAGCTGCAGGAGAAACTGAGGGCAGCGGAGAGGCAGGCGGGGCGTCACCTCAACGCAGTGACGCAGGAGGAGCCGTCACTGGGGGCCTTCACAGGTACAGCGATACGGGAGAGGATGCAGCTTTGATTTTTTTTTTTATTATTATCTTCTAAATGGACCTAAAATTGGCTGTGGAGATGGAGAGACTGCGGGACAGTCTTTCTGCAAGGGACAAATACCTTTTATGAATGAATACACCAAATGTTAAAGTATTCATCCAGATAAATTTCTTGTAAATAAATTTAAAACTTCACGACTCAATGCTAGTCAAAGTTTATTTTCGCAGCTTCTCATCTTTGATCATAGAGATTGTACCACCTGATGACGCCCAACAACAATTCTTGATAATTCCTTTGGTTATGATCATGACTCACAAACATAAAAATGCTTCTTTTCATCTCTTTGTCTCTGATTGCTAATTGCATTGCATTGAGGTATTTCTTTGTTCTCTTTGTCTTCCAAGATGGTGGACAGTAAATTATGTTGCGCTCCATTTATAGTTAGAAATTACAACTTCCCAAGTCGGATAAATCAACTGAAACGCTTCCTGAATTCAGACTTCCCACTCGGAATGTGGGAGAAGTGCCAACTACCCCCAGATAGGACCTTTAAGTCCCGGCTTCTCATTTCAAAATGGCCGCTTCTCGTGTTGACAACAGTAAGTCAGAAATCCTGACTTCTCAACTGGAACACGACTGTTTCCAGTGTGACGTCAAACCCAGCTCCATGTTTTGATGTAAACAGAACGTAGCATTAGCTGACATGCTACTCAGAGCACAAAGCTAAGTTCTGACAACATGTCACCTGAAACATGTATCCTAACATCATGTAGTGCATTTCTAAGGACGTGTTGACCCGACACATGCAGCTACAGTCTTCAGTGAACTCACATCTTGCTCCTGTTGTTGATGTTTTCATTGCAGGAGTTTGCTAAAGATCTAGGCTAATGCTAGCAGGTTTACTCTGTTTTAAAATGACTTGATAAATTGTCTCATATGTTTTGTGGTACTTACAGAAAAAGTTGTTCTATAAAGTAAGCACTTGCTTTAAAAATGAAAAATGAATTTAAAATTTATGGACTTGTTTGAATTGTTGCCATGGGAGATTGAAGGAGTTCTCAAACGAATCAAGGCAACACTCCAGGTATGTTTTTGATGGTGGTATAATTTTAGAACACGATAAAAAGCTAATAAAAAAGATGCTTTTTTAACACAATACTGCCTATTTAACATCATGTCAACTTTTGTAGACTTACTTGTTTTCAGCTAAACTACCAGATATAAATGCCACGTAAACGTGGAAAAAAACAGACAATTTCATACAGATGAAAACTGCTTTGAACATGTTTAAATATAATATTTTAAATATTACCCAAATCTGCGTCAATGGAATGCGGAAAAACTAATGAGGCACAAACACAGTAGGTTTAAAGAGAGGCTGATCAGAGACGCCGTAGCAGGTGTAGATGTGAATGTGTTTGTATTATAGAAAATTATGTGTGTGTGTGTGTGTGTGTGTGTGTGTGTGTGTGTGTGTGTGTGTGTGTGTGTGTGTGTGTGTGTGTGTGTGTGTGACTGGAATGTTTTTATGTGGGCCGTGGTTTTCTGAACAGCATGGTGTCTCTGAGATATTCCTCTGATTTAGATGGGAAAGCAGTGGAAGGAGCTGGTGCTCATCGTGTCACGAGATCTTTCATAATGAAATGAAAACAATTCACTGAAGCTCAGCGGGAGGCAGACTGGAGGAGTCTGGCCCATCAAAACACTTTTTTTCATTTTGTACAAAATGTTTTGTGCTTTTTAGCTATTTCATGGATGCATCGCTAATATTTTGGACGGCGTGACCCAAATTACAGATTTAAAGAGGATACAGCAAAAGCAAGTGAGGTGGATTAGCAGAGCTGGCCAACAACTGATGATGTCATTCAGGAAAGTGAGCTGTGAATATGTTAAAAGATTGTCATACAGCAACACTCTTCAGCCAGAGGAGTTAATAGTGTGATGCAAATGTAAACGGATTTAGCATGTAGATGTTTTTTTTTTAAAGCAACAAAAGCCGAATGTTTTAGCCCTGTAAAACACATTTTTAATGAATTCTGAAAGAAAAATTTAATTGTCATAGAAAACATACACTAAGTCAGTATTGATCATAAACATTAGTTCCGCTAATGCTAAAGAGCTACACCAACATGGTATTTCCTGACAGCTAATGCTAAAGCCCTAAATTCAGCCATGTTGAAACCTCCCATGTGTCTCAAGGAGAACGTGAAGGTCTCAAAACATTTCATATGTGTGAATTTTTGCATGTTTTTTCGTAGAAGTGTTTTGTCCTTCTGTTTACCTTATTTGTTCATTTGTCGTATATTTGCCATTTGTGCAATAAAGATTTTTAAAAAATGAAATGAAATGAAATTTTATTCGAACATGATACAAATATAAAATAAAATAGTGCACAGTAACAAGAAGTGCATAAAAAAGAAGAGAAAATACAGATTTTTTGTTTCAGTTAACATATCATGCTCAAAAATAAAGATAGAAATTGACAAGCGGAACCAAACTGCTATGTAAACAGTCTTCACTCCCTTCAACATAAGAACATGATTAAAAAGGCTAACTACTGGAAGGATTCATAACTTTAACACAGATGTCTTCATTCAACTGAAAGATTATAAAACCGCCAAGAAAATTAGTGCTTTAGAATTTATCTAAAAAAAATTATTTAGGGGGTTAAAGTGTTTTCAAAGTTAGCATAAACGCTAAACTGAAACTTTGCTCCGCTATTAGCCCATTAGGAGAGTAGTGGATCAACCTGTTAGTTTTGGTGTCTGTATTTATTTGAGATCGGATCTATAACTATCAGCGTACGTGGGTCAGAAAAAATCCACAAAAAACGAGAATTGTTTGCACCCAGTTATTCAAAATCACTGACCAAAGCTGCTACTTATGACTGTGCTACAGAACCCTGCTTCCTAAAAGTGTGGACCGTCTTTAGCTTTAGACTGAAAGTCAATTTTAAGTGTGATAATGGTCATCTAACCCAACAACACATTCAAATCTTTCAAAAGAAAGAGAATGTAGGTGGAAAAACGCTTTCATCTTGTGGAATTTTAAATGAAAATGGCTCAAAAATCTGATTTAAAGTAAAGGTCACATTCCTACAAAAGATAATAATTCCCCAGTAGCTTCCAGCCTCAGTGAGGGGATCGAAAGCAGTTCCCTAGGGGGAACATACCATTTGTTTGTCCCCTAAAATGATGAGAAGAGACACTCTGGTATGCCAGTCCTGCTGACACGGTTGATCTCTGAACGCAGCAAAAACTCCAAAACATGTCAAGATCTTCGTTCTGACTGCTGTGAGGCATGTGTGTTATCTCGGCGCTTCAGATATCGGCTTGTAATTAGTCTTTTAGGAGCAGCAGTATATGTGTTACTTTGCGAAGAACGATAGAAAATGTGAGCAGGGTCTTTAGCGACGGGAAGGCTGAAATTGAAGAGGACAAGTTACAGATAAGTGGGACGAAAGTGGCTGAACTGCTGAATTAAAGATGAGGAAAGAGAGAAAAATCTGTTTAGCAAGTACAGCAATCAGTGGCTTCCAGCACTTCCAAGCAATTAGAGCTGTGAGCCTGACATCAGCCCGACAAGCACATCTGCTGGAACAGGATTTAACAAATATTTACTTCTGTTCCCTCGTGTAGGACGTTTTCTATTTACTTAGGCAGAAAAGGCATAGAGAGACTTTGATTTAGTCCTCTCCTTTTCCTCTGCTTTTAATCCCTGAGCTTTGTAATGTGAATGTGTGTGTGTGTGTGTGTGTGTGTGTGTTTGTGTGTGTGTGTTTTCATTCCTCTGTTTTTGAGATGAGATAACGGGGAGAATAATCTCCAGCCGAGTCAGAGGAAGCGGCAGAGGTGTAGAGACTGGACCTGTGGGAAGCCAGACCGGCCGGCTAACGAAGGAGCATATCTGGGATGAACGAAGCCAGGCCTTCAGGCAGACCGCTCAGCCAGATACAGTCAACTCCAACCACACTATCTGTTATTTCTGCTGAATTAAAGTAAAAAATCCTAGCAGTATGGTGCCTCTCATGTTGCGTAGCTGTGAACAGCCCCCTTTGCTTTGATACCACTCAAGAAAATGATCCAGGCCTGCTGTGACTATGATCAATTATAGATCACATCTTGCCAATACTTTGCTCTGTTCAAACTCAACGTACATCACCTGGTGTAGCTTCTAGATGCTTTATGTTGTGAAAAGTGAGATATGGAAATTTCATGTGCCCTAATTTAAGAATTTTAATTCATTTTATTATATTAATCAAAAAATACTAGTTTTTTTCCCTGTTTTTTATTTTTAATTTTTTTTTTTTTTTCAAAATTTTATTTGTCTGATGTATTGTTTTCTAAATAAAACAGTACATCAAATATTTTAACCAAACACTATTTAGTCACCAAATACCTATTTTACTCAAGGAGTTTTGTTGAATGATGCATTTTACACATACTTGAATATTATTATTATTATTATTTTGTCTACACTAATCACTGCTGAAATAATTCATTTCAGAATCTATGGCAGTAATTTAAATTGATTTTCTGGGACACTGCCACTTTAATTCCACTCACATTATGTGCAAGAGAAAGGTGATTTTAGGCAGTTTAAAAAAATATTATTTTATTTGACTAATTTTCTTGAAATTGTGATGATACAGAAAAAAGTTAGCATTAAGTAAAAGTTTAAGCACCAAATGCTAACCGCTAGCCACCTGAGGACTTAGCATTATCATCTAACCATAATGTTTTCACTATTAGCAAAAAAAAAAAAAAAAATCAGTTCCATTGGTGGGAAGCTGTGAAACTGCCAGGAACATTTGAGGGAGAACAATGAATACCTATAGATTCCCACCCTAAGCCAAACGCCCATTTTTATAAGCTAGCAACATCTGCCTGCGGCATGTTCTGAACTCTTTCAACCCTAAAAGCCTTTTTCTACCAAGGGGTGGTGAAGGTAACGTGTGCCTTAAGTGTTTGTAACATCTGTCTTTTGACTTTCAAACATCTGCTACGCAGCACATCAAGAGTAAATGTTGGTCAGTGCGGTCTGGATGCTCAGCACTTCTAATCATACAAATGGAGAAGTGGTGAGAACCAACGTACGAGACTGACGAATAAATTTCAGTCTCGTATGCTAAAGAGCTACACCGGCATGGTATTTCCTGAAAGCTAATGCTAAAGCCCTAAATTCAGCCATGTTGAAACCTCCCATGTGTCACAAGGAGAACATGAGTTCTCCTTGAGTTTTTCCACATTGTCAAGTTAGAAACGTCAACGTGTCATTTCAAGTTTTTTAGAGACAAATCAAGAAAAAGTAGCAAAAATGATGATGAGAAAAGTTCAACATTGTCTTTCAGACTGAATAGTAATGCTTACTTTTTCATTTTTTATTTTTTACATACATTGATATGACTGGACATTTCAGATTTGTGTGTACTATAAAAACCACAACGTAAAATGAGTGTTTTATTAGCCTGACTGTTTATTACTGGACTATTTGGAGTTCACACATCAAGTTACCTTTATTTACTAGTCTGTTGTAGACTGAGAAATGAAAAGATTCATTTGTCTTTGTTGGGGTTTTCAGTTACCTTGAGTTCTAGTTTAGTGACACATCAGTCAGAGAAAAGCGTCCAAACTGCATCAACTCCTGAAAAAGCAGAACCACTGAGTGGGTCGTACTACTGTCTGATTGTAAGGGGAATTTGGTGTTTATTTGTTGTTCAGTTTTTCTTCTTCTTTGGGCAGATAGTCCCGACCCAATGGGGCTTCCTATAGGTTACTGAGTAGTACACTACTGACCTTTCTTTTTCATCCTGTTAGATTTTATTTGGCAGATTTTTGTGTCAACAGTCAGCCACTGTTCAAGGATGGAGAGGACTAAAGTATATCTGAAGATACTCGAATGTATGATTTATGACATGTCATTTCCCTTTTAGTTAAATGAAGCATTTTTGTGTTGGTCACTTTGTGCCCTTGTTCTCCGTGTTCCTGTCTGAATTGATGTCTGCTATGTTGACCTCTGTTTTGCCCCCCTCTTATTTTTGATATAGTTTTGACACTTTTCCAAATAAACTAAAAGTCTATTAGAAAGCAACTTGTCGTGTTTCTCTGGCTGGTTTGTGCCTGTTGAAACCAGATATTTACATAACCTGAGTGTAGCTCGTGGAGGGAATATCAAAAGGTCATACAGTTCAAACGACCTTGATGTGTAACATTCGAATTCAATGAAAGTTACAAAAAAGTAATTCTAAAAAAAAAATGTATGACCACCTTTTCTAGCTTTTTAGCAAATAGACATAATTTTGGTATTTCTAACTAAGCTAAATCAAGAAAGGCTTGGTCAGGTTTAACTTCAAACAGTAAGAAAAAAATGTTTGTGTCTTTTTAGTCCGTTTATGTTTATATCTGGTTTCAACTGCATCTACCACTTTTGCATGTGTTGAGACTGGATTTTCTGCCCCTTTGTAAATGAAGACTACAATCTTCTTACATCCATAAAACACAGACAGAAGTCAGCATACAGTCATTCAGGTTTTATTCCAGAATAACAAACAGAATCAGTTTCTCCAGCCTGTGTCGTCATGGTAGGTCTGATATGTGAACATGATTGTCGGAGGCATCTCAAACACAAGCCCCATCAACAAAAAGTCATCATCATCATCGTCGTCGTTATCATCATCCCACCACAATAAATGCAGCAGGCGGCGCCCGCTCCGGTGTCGTCAACGCGACAATGATGCACAAGATGGGAGTTTGTTGTGGTCACATGCAGAGAGTAAATACGGCCGGCTAGCTAGCTGAGCTGGCTCTGGACGAGGACAACCACAGAGAGACACAGGGCCCCGGCTAACAGCAGAGAAAGTTTCAGTCCAAACTCTTCTCAAAGACAGAGCTCCTACATCCTGCAGGGCTTTCATCACATTTTGTATGTCTGATAATGAAACTATTGAAGGGATAATTTGGAATTTGTAAAGTGAAAATCTGTTAAAACCTTATAAGGAATGAGCTAGCTGTTTACAACTACTATCTCCAAAATGTAATAGGGGTTTAAGCTAGTGCTATTTTATGAACCTTTCTATAGTTCTGATGTTTTTATTAAGCAGTAACTTCCAAAGAGGTCAATGACTATTTACAGGTGAACAGGAAGTAAAAGACGGTATGCCAACAGTAATCTTCCTGAACTGAGAGGAGAACACCTGTTTACAGTCAGAGTAACTGCCTGTCCACAACATAAAGGTCACTCAAGCAAGTATAACATTTTAAAAAAATGTTTTTCTGCCTTTATACCTAAGGAAGCGTTCAACAGACAGAGCCTCCAAAATCAGGATCATTAGCTTATTAAAACGAGAAAACTTTATTCTTTGAACTAGATTTGACAAACTTGTTACACGATTTATATCTCATTAAAAACAAAATATATTATTTTATATTAAGAAAGGTTGTAGAGTAAAACAACATCCAGAAGAAACGGCATGAGAAGAAGGAGTCACGGCGAGCCCCTTTATGCCTTTTCAACCGAGGAGCATATTTTTATATCACATTAAAATGAAAATTTTTGTTATGATGGGACGTTATAACAAAGAGATACTGTTAATGAATTTATTTCCAAGTTTCAGCAGTTAAATGCTTCTGTATATCAGGCAGCTGCTCCAAGTGGAAAAATGTTACATGTTCACTTCTCAGTTCATGTTTCATGTGGGAAAATTATTACAGGTGCACCCCTTTCACCTTTAATAAGGTAGCAGTTTCTGCGCAACCACCCAGTGTAATTTGAGCTTTAGCTTGATGTCAGAGTAGGGAACAAGATTATTTCTTCTGCTCGTTTCTTTTTTCCATCTTCTTTGACTAGGTGTACATTCTCAATATTTTGTTTCACTAACTTGACAAGAACCTCAGCAGCAAACAAACTGTATGAAGCCACCTTCATATCAGCACAATGTCCGGATGCTCACCTAAATCAGCGAAAAGTAAGTAAATCTCCCATTGAGTCATTAGTTTTTTCTATAAAAAGGAAGGCAAGATAGAAGTGCATGCTAATGCTAAGGAGTCAACTACAATTAAATACCAAATAATTTTGACACCTTGTCTTTGTATCCTTTCAGTACCGTTGCTAGCTAACACATGCTAATTTTTCTAAATTTCCAATGTTGGCCTCCTAAGCTAGCCAAACGACTGAAAATGCTTCTGTTTTTAGCCACTCCCTGACCAAAAACTGCTGGTGAAAAAGAAACTGTGCGTGTTAAAAGGGAATATGACTACACAGCTACTGAGTCAGTTGGGTGAGGGACCCTCAGCAGCTGTTTCCATTAAAAATGTGCGCAAAACTTTGTCAATATTCCACTAATGTCGAAAAAAACTAATTTGCAATTGCAGTGTTTTACGTTAAGTAAGACACAATTAAAATAACACGTAAATAAGTCATTAAAAAACATCACTACCTTCATCACTACCAATTGTCTTAAGTCTGCAGACAGGACCAGCCAAATAAAACCATGACTTATTTTTCCTTCTGGTGCCCATTCTAGACATGCTGCACCTTTAAATTGAGTCACAAACTTTTACATATTACAACCAGCCTTCAAGTTTATTATTGAAAGCTGGTGACATAGACCAACACAAAAACATACAGAATTATGAAGTGGATGCAAAACCTATTTAACTAATTAGGTTATTTTATTTAGGGGCTTCAGAGTATGTAAATGCATACCAAATTTGCTAAGTGTTTGAAAAACTGGAAACCATTTCTCATTCTCTGTTCACTTCATAGTCATTCATCACTTTGTGTTGGTCTGTGACATAAAATCCCGATTCGATCTGTGGATGTTTGTGATTGTAGCGCAACAAGACAGGGAAAAGTTCAAGGCGTATGAATATCTTTGCATTAAGGTGGTTATTGGAATGCAGGCGGAGAACAGTTGCTCAAACAAGCAACTTAAAAAAAATATTTTAAATTTCCAATGTTTTAGTCATTTTTCTTTGTATAAACTCTAGTTTGATATATTTATGAGTTATTCAGTAAAAATACCTGAACACTCTGCCTGTTCATAGGACTGAAACTCTTCCTCTGCTATTTGAGGGCTCATGCATATCAAACTGTGTATATCTTTACACAATACAGAGATAGTAACACCGTAACAAGGGCATATAAGATGATGCAAACACTCAATGTGAGACTGAATTCTAGAAGCACTTTTTCTCCCCAACATGCTTGTGTTTTTTTTTCTGTGTGCGGTGGTGCACTTCTGCGGCATCTTCATTAAAAAAAAAAAAGAACAAAAAAAAAATCAAAGGAGAGTGAGTTCAAAACAGTCCATAACAGTGTGTTTCTGAGTCGATCACAGCTTTGGATTTCTTCCTTTAGAATGGAAAAAATAAAAAAATAAAATAAAATAAAAATAAAAAACAAATCATACGCCTGAGTTCTGTAAGTGATGCTGTTTCTGTTCGGCTGGACGGACGCTGACGGTGTTTCTGAAAACTTACAGCAGCGAGGAAGTAAAGGGGAGTTCAGCTTTTTTTTCTCCTTTTTTTGTTGTTTTAACATTAAACATTCCATAGATGATACAATCAGCTTCCCTCATCCATTCACAAACTCCTCAACCACAGATTCCATAAATATCTCCAAAAAGATCATTTATATTCACAATCTATTTACAGTAGCATGATTAATGTGAAAAAAAAAAGATTCATTCAGATGTTTGTTTTTTTTTTAAACAAAAACAAAACAAAAACAGCGGACATAAAAACATGAGGAGCATGATCCTCCGTTTCCTCTCAGCTGATAGTCTACAGCCTGGACATCACATTGAATGTCAGATGAACACAAAACATGAATTGGTGGCTTCATTAACATCCCTATGTGTGGGAATTACACTTTATCTAAACAAAATCTACCTTATTTAGGAGCAATTAGTGAGGAATTTCTATTCTATTTTATTCTAAAAGGTAAATGTTTGAAATGGTCGAACACGTAACAGGGAATCTGTTTTGCACTTCCTACCAGAGCTGCTAATCTTTGCATTTTCTGGTCCTGCATTTAAGAAAAAGTAGAGAAAACAGTATAGTTTAAAACAAAAAAACAAAAAAAACAAATGCATAGCAATCAACTGTAACACATACGGTCACAGCAATTAATCAGATTAAGGTGATCATTTGACTAAAGCCCTTAGAAGTTCCCCTCGGTTATGCAGAAACACACAACAAACGCATTTTTCGGGATTTTCTATAGAAAAATGGAACCAGAAAAAAAAAACTATGGGGGAAAAACTGGGAATCATTTTTTGGATTTTTTTTCTTTCTGAGAACACACCGAACACTGCCATGTCTAATTACCGTCTTCAATTCTGAGTGGAGACGTGTTGCATTGGAAACAGCATGAAGTAAATCAGCTGTTCAAGATATAAATGTCATATTATTGGAGGTATGTTGCATAATTGTGTTGAAATGATACAGTAAATGAAACGTGTGTGTGTGTGAGTGAATGAGGCCTTTTGTATTAATTAGTTTGAGTGGGAGGTATATTTTCTAAATTATAGACCAATTTAATATAAAGTATTAACATTTAGAATTAACTTATTTATGGACATTGTAGCCAGAATAATAATGTCGATGTCCAACATCAACATTTTAATGCCATTAAAATGCTTCCAGAATGACTTTAACTCTATTCTGGGCTGTCAAAGGCATTAGAAGTTTCTGTTAAAATATGGCAAGCAGTTAACAATTTAACTGAATTAGGTAACTTTCTTTGGGTCTTCATACAGTATGCAAATAAGCTAGTCTGAGACAGGAAATGACCAAAGCCCAATTTGACCATTTTAAAAAGACTCCAACGTGAAAAGCCTCAAAGCGGTTCATGTAATAAACTTTTAAACTTTTCTTACGCCTCGTCAAAAAAACAAATGTGGACTTCCACCATGTTAAAATATCTCACAATTAGAGGTTGTGTGTTACCATTAAACAGAACATTACTGAAAAAAATAAATAAATGAAAAATCTTAACTGTCCCGTGAAAAATTGTGTTTAACATTTAGTAGTACTGGTACATATTTGCAAAATAGCCACTGAAATCCTGCAGACCGTCAACCGTTTCCTGTTATGGAAACACAGCGATTCTTTACCTACACACACAGAATAATGACCTTAAACCTTAAAAGAAGAGTTTTAGCATTAATTAAAAAAAAAAAATTCAGCAAAGCATAGAAAAAAATAATAATAAAGAAATAGATCAAACCATGCCGCAAATAATTTTAAAAAATTGTAATTCTGCGACCAACGTTTGGACTCAGAAATGTCTCACTGTGGTCCCTTTAAATCAAGCTCAGGTGATTCCTAACGTACCAAACGATGTGGCAGATTGCGTTTTGATTTACTGCCAACCCCTCGGGTCCAGATGTGCTTTCATACCCAACGGTCACCGAGACGCCCCTCTTCTTTTAGCAGCACGACTGGGGATAATAAAGATATACGGCCAGAGAAGGGGTCAAAGGTCAGCAGGTTTCTCGATTAGTTTGCAGATGGAGATCAGCCCTTTAGTTTTAGCTTGTGTTCCGAAATGCTTCACCTCAGAGTAACTCTGCTTTAACCGCTTCAACATGAATCAATTTAGTCTAAAAACAAAAAGCAAACAAGTCTTTGGCTACATTTCACAGTAAAGGGATTACAAAAAAATTTGCATCTAATAAGGACTTGACAATCTGATATGTGTGTGAGAGTGAGCACCTGGCAGTGAACAGTTCTGGTTCTGAATTGTGTCTAAAAATAAATAAATAATAATAAACAAAGAATACTACCAGTTGGCTTTTTTAAATCAGGGTAATTAAAAATAAGAAGAGAAAACGACCATTAAACACAGAAAACTTAAAGGAAAGAAGCTAAGCTAGCAAATCCATAAAGCTAATATTAAAATAAAACAAAAAAAAAACCTAGCTTATATCTAATCAGGTAATAGTTTCAAGAAGTCCACAACAGAAAGGACCAGTTTTGTCTTTATCCTCAAAGTTCATGTCACACGTCTTTAATGCGACGGGATAAGAGCCGAGCTCAGATCTTAAACCTCGGATCGTAAACCCCAGCCACGCCCAGAACGCTTCCTGTGAACAAAAGAGGAAAAAAGAAAAAGCCAACAGGAAGCTGGAGTTAGCCAGCTCACAGTGCAGCTGCAGGTTTCCCTGAGGACAGCTTAAAGAACCAGCAGGTGAGATCATGGCTTCGTTAGAGAGAGGGGAACAAACGGCAGGGAGGACGGCGTCCTGACGCTCGCAACTGGTTTCCTACCCGTCCTGGACCCAACACGTCCGCACTTAAAGAAAAAGTATCCACATCCCTTGAACTTTTGCATGCACAAGCTTCGATGTATATTTTCCGAGGCCATTAGGGGGCCTCAGAACGATGGAGGGAAGATGAAAACGACAGAAAAAATTAATCTAATAAATGTTTTAATCATTTTTTTTAAATAATAAAATCTACTCCTTTTATTTGAATCATTACAATAAAATATAAGTTAAAGTAATTTATTTAACTCTTATTTGCCAGTCAAATTGACCAAGCTATAATTGATCAATTTGAGGTTAGCATTTATGCTAAACACATGTAATAATTATTGAATAGTGAAAAATACGTGCAGATAAACATTGTAGAAGTTGATGTTTCTTTATATGTAGCAGTTCTGCCGGTCGGCTTGTTAGGGAGCGGCAGGCCCGGTCAGAGGTCATGGAAACGTTTGGGAACCTCCACCTACATTACATAATGACTGATGAAATACGGTGGCGGCAGCATCATGACAAACTTGCTGAAATGTGTTGCAATGTGACTAAAAAGCTCAAAGGGTGTGAATACTTTCTTGCACTGCTGGCGGGTCTCTAACTCTTTCATAGTGACTAACACTCCCATGTGGAGGCAGTTCTCAGGTAAACACAGATCTATCTTATTCTCTGCAGTCTGCAGCTTCCTCTGTGTGTCTCCTTTAAAGGGTGATTGTTCCAAAAAAAAAGAAAAAAAGAAAATCATCCAACGAATTCGATAACTTCACACAGTTAGCCTTTACAAGACATCCGTTTGTGTTTCTAGGTTTACAATCTTCTTTTTTTTCCTTCTTCTTCATCCGTCTGATAAATCCGTGTGCATGGCAGCTAGTTGGTCAGAGACAACATGTCTGACCTTTCCCTGTGCCAAAAAGATAAAGCGCATGTCTCCACATTTCCAAACAGTCACATGGTACTTTTAAAGCACTTCTGCAAGCGTGAACGTCGAAAACAAGCAGCTGAGGAGATTTCATGAGACTTTCACCCAAACGTATCAACATTGGTAGAGTCTGCGCAAACGAAGAGGGCTCGTTGCAGAGAAGACGGTCCGACTGCGCTTCGATATTCAAAACACAGAATGCAGTGTGTTTGAGACAACGGAATTATGGGAAACAGGGCGTCATCGAGAGGAATGCCTACAGAACAACAGCGATGAAGGGGCCGACTCCTCGTCAGTTATCTCAACTATGGCTTATTTACAGTAATCATACCAAAGTGGTGATGCTCTGAAAGTTACACATGCCGCCTTTAAAATGAACACGAAGAAGAAAGAACCAAACAATCCAGTTGCCAACAAACAAAAATTGAAAAAGAAAAAAAAAAAAATCGGAATAAACCGAAACAGGACAGCCCAGATTCCATAAGCCCCTCCCCCCCAAAAGTTGCAGTGTAAGCCCAGAGCAGCCGACCATGCAGACTTGCTCGGTGAGAGTCAGTGATGGCTTGATGCTACGAGAAGAATCCTGCAAGCTATCCTGGTGGTTGTAACGTATGGCAATGGCGGCGTCAATCGTGGTAAGGGTTTTGTGGGTAATGGAGTCCTCTGCTCTCCTTCGAGCAGGGCAGGGAACTAGTTGGGCGGCATATCCAACAAGAGAGAACGCATCCAAGAGCGGGAAGGACGGTGAAGAGTACGGTTGCGCTCTTCTCTGCTCGTCCTTTTCACATTTTCTTTTTTACGATGTTGTTGAAACCTTAGACTCTCTCGTTCCTCACAGCGCCGTGGCCTCCCAGCTGGTGCCCCGCGGGACCTGCCGTCACTTGGTCTCCGTCATCATTGGGGCGGGCACCGCCGACGGGTGGGGCCGGTTCAGCTCTGTTCCGGCAGCCGGGGAAGAGGCGGCAGATGCCAGGCTGCAAGGGGTGACGGGCGCAGGGAGACCTAGCGACAGGACACAAAGCTTAGCGACGGTTTCTAAACATTTGGTTGTCGGACATAACCTAAACCAAAAACGCACCCAAGACCTTGACGGTTGGCGTGAGATCTTTCCGCTGATGAGCTGTTTGGTTTTCTCCAAGTATGGTGCAATGCATCATGGCCAAAAAATCTCAAATTGGTAATTTTCCAAACAGCTTCTGATTTAATTGAAAGAAGCTTCATAAAGTCGTTCTGTTACATTGTTTTTGAGAGGTTTTCTCCAAACAGCTCTCTAATAAGCCACACTGACCTTCCCTCTGGCTCAGAAGAGACTGTAGAGTTTCCATCTTGACTTGCTGATGGTTTGATCACTACTACCTTTCTATTATTTTCCCTCATAAATGTTATGGAAAAACCAAGGGTGGATGTTAAAACGAACACCTTACAGTCTCTGTTTGTATCACTTTTAGTTGGAATTTCTTTTGCATCAGTCACAAACACGCTCTCAGACATTTCTGTCCCCCTGGCATTCCTGACTCACATTCTTTGCGTGGAGCGGCTACGTTGTTATCTATGGAGGAGTTCTTGCTGGCGTTGCTGTTGGTGGCCTGGCTTGGCGCCGCCTGGCCGCTGTTTTGGCTCTGAGCGGTTTGGTTCTGGCCCGCTTGGCTCTGGCTTTGGGCCGGCCTCTGCGTCTGGCTCGGCCTGGGGTTGGAGGCGTCCATACTGCTGCCCATGCTGCTGCCAAGTTGTAGTCGCCTCATATGGCGCACCACAGCGGTGGCGTTGAACGCTTGCTGGGGAGGAAAATGGAGGAGAAAAGATGGGAAAAATGCAGAAATTGTAATATTCTTACATTCAGTCAGTGAAAATACCACAGAGAAGCTTTCTAGCGGATACAAATTGACCTAGTAAAACTGCAGACATGCAGCAGGGAGACTGAATAACAGAGATCATTTACAGTAATGGACAAAAGTTACCCTCCATTTGCTCTTGGCAAAGTTCTTTCTGATCTGCCGGCTGACTGACTCATGGATGTTCTTGCAGAGAGCCGTGTCCCCAGCGATCCTAAACATACATTTATATTTTTACACAAACATGCATTTACTGCCTGTAACCGTCCCGCCGGTGCCTCCACATTGTGTGTTTCCCTCACCAGGGATGTCTGAGGGCCTGTTCACAGGTGAACCTCTTGGACGGATCTTTCTCCATCAGACAGCTGATAAAGTCCTTGGCTGAAAAAATAAAACAATATAAATCAAAAATAGGCATGAATAGCAGTGTAAATTGATAATGCCTGCAAGCATATGCAGCTTTAGATAATGGATTGAACACTGAAAAAAAAACATTGAATTTGCTTAAATTTAACAAATATTTTCTGTTTGTAAATTCAACTTAAACTCATAACTTCCCATTTCCTTGAGGTTATTAATATGACGTGCCACAACAAACCAATTTTTTTAAAGTTACGCTTAAAAATCGGAAAGACCCTACTCATTGGAGGAAGGTAGGGGTTTGATCTTCATCGGACAATAGGCACCTGCCTAAAAGTCAAACACAGCTAAATCTTCAAAGCTTACTTAGAGTCACCAAGTCTCCATAGCAACCATTGGATGCTATTTACAGGAAAACTGGTTCTTTGGAAGATATGACATTAAAAAGTCTTTTCTGTTGTATAAACATAAATATGTGGGATTATTAGGACCAACTGGAAGATCAGTTAATGCCACTAGACCAGAGCAAATCTATGTGGCTTTCTATTGGCTAAGAGCCCTAAGAGGCGGACGCAAGGTTTTACATTGGGCTAAACGTTGTTACTGTTTCTTTAACTGGTCTGAGCAGACTATGTGAACACCAGCTTTACCTGACAGAACACAAATAGCACTTAATCATCAAGAAACACAGACATCAACACACACAGCTGGTTCACATGTAACCACGGCGGCGACACATGACCCAAGTCACAAACGCACATAAACATGATTGTTCCTGTAGAAAGAGGTCAGGCACTGTGATGTGGAAGTGGTGTGTGATGCA